TAAGCGTAAGCAATCAATTAACGCGTTATTGCTTGATTAGCTGTACAAATTTGTTTGTCATGAATAATGAACCATGAGATTTTGACTCATGATCAGCTGATGTACGGATGAATTAATCTTTGCAGTGCATTTCAATGTGCAGTTTTCATAGATAAGCGTATTGTTAAGGAAAATTGGGACTCGATTCATCAGAATTAAAATTCCTTACGATTCGTCTGAACATGTTCATTTTTAGCGAGTTTTTGTTGTGAAATGCTCAGTTGAATTTCCATCAAGTAGTTTTTTTATAGTTTCTGAACCGGTCACTAAATAAGAACGATTTTTCTCACTTGTAATTTCTTTGTTTGAAGCCATCGATCACATTGAACCGATAGTTGCATTTCGCTAAATGTATCATCTCAGATTTCTGTCTTCTGAGCTCACGTTCCAATTGTAGAGAACTTACACTCCCGGATCTTTGAAGTGATTCAGATGGACTTCAGAATCCCCATTTTTATTGTTCCACTCAAGTTTATTTTGCGCATTGGGGATAACCGTTGTAGCATAGAGACGCGGTTAAATAATAATACTTCAAATGTTTATATACAGAAGAATGAGCATACGGGACATAAGCGGAACTGGTAGAGTGATGAATGTTGCAAAGAAATGCTTGAACAAGAGCAAGTGAACGTGATAATGTTAACTAGAGTAGAACAGATGGATCAATGCATATGAAATCATCTGAAAAAGAGAAACATTCGTATTCATAATTCGTATTCGATTTCATAGGTAGCGTGATGAATTATGAACGACTGATTGCTACTGGCTCATGAAAACATGCAAAAAATTGTATTGCACTGTGAATTTATGTGTTTGATACATCATGAAATAATATTATCGATAATATCAAATATACGTATATCTGTATACATTGTTTTGGTTATTCTAAAACGTTTATTAAAACGTTGCTTGTTGTTGTGAAACGTGTGTTGTAATCCAACGGCAACAGCGACAACAATACGAAGCTCGATTGATTCTCTATGAATCTTGAACATTCATAGCAATGATTCTTTTCTTGTTTTATTATTGCTTTTATATTTATTAATATTAATGTTTTTTACTTTGCTGTTGCTGTTATTATATTGCGAATTTTACGATGGTGTCTATCATATGAACATGTTATAACTATTAACATGATTTAATGCAATCCAAAACTTTGACGGCACAGCACACAAATATTTTCTTAATGTCATCAAATCGTCTGCCGTCTCGAAATCTATCATGTTGCTTTGATGTATCCAGTTGAATTGGTTCACCAAGTGGATAGATATTTAGGTGTGATTAAAAGATGAATCATCGAAGCGAACATAGCTGGATGATGCAATAACAATAGATCTTATTGATACTGTTTGTGGGAGTATTGTGTGATAGCAGAAAAGGAACTAATTTTGTTTCATTAAATCGAGATCGATTGGCGACTTGATGAAGCTTAGAGCTCAAGTAACTCATCTCAATTTGATCCGCTTTGTTAATCTTATCCTTATTTGTTTAATTCAGTCAAGAGATCGCATACCTGTCGTTTGCAACTTTGAATGTACTTAGCGCGTGAGAACGCACATCTGTGACACACCGCCACATCGACACTACACTTAACGATGATATTTGCACACACTAATCAACTCTCCAGAAACGCAATATGAATACCATTTTCGGCACTTCTAACCATTATACATCATTTTGAATGTCTCGAGTCATTTTTTAAAGATATAATGTTCGAGTATTAATATAGTACGTTTAGTTTAATACGTTTAATTAGTGCGTTTAATTGGGCAAAGTATTCACGGCAACTAATTAAATACTCGGTTGTGCTCACTTGGCCTGCTCGCCTAGCCAGCGGGGTGGTG